TTCTGTTGTTTCTTATTTATGGGCCTGCGTCAGCACGACACACAAGTTGTCAGTTGCATGCGCCAAGATGATACTAAGCTATCAACTCTGGCCTCAACAGATTTTCACCCATAAACTGGTACCCATCACGGCACTGTTTTCCTGTTGTTGTTTTTCTGGTTTGTGTTTGGTGTTTTGTGTGGGTTGTTTTTGTTTGTTTTTGCTTTTGGGTTGGTTGTGTTTCTGGTTTTTGGGTTTCGTTTCTTGTTTTCTGTTACCGTGACAAGGGAATAGGACTATGTACCGGTCCTCCACCAGTTTACTTTTGCGGCCACTACAGCCTCGGCCCCTGCTTGAATTAATTAATTCATCGCACATGCAACATGCTTAGAAACATGTTGAACGACCTGGCGGAAGCCATACGGCGTTGGACGGAAAAAAGAAAGAGAGCACCATCCGGAACTGCAAGGGTTTTTCGAATTCACGTTGGCGATTTATTTCAGAGTTTCTGCATGTCGATTTTTTCCGAAGCTGTGTCGTGATTCATTCACCGGTTGTTTTTAAGTTTGGGTTTTTTGTGTTTGATGTTTGTTTTGGGGATAAGCGCGTAGGTTGACTACCCGTACGTATAGACGACCGCGTTTAAGTTTCAGACTTTGGAATAGGTATAGGAGAACGGTCCAGGGATTGACTATAGCTTTTGTCGGTACCGGAGTGTTGCAATGGGCCTCTGGTTAGGCTACTGATGTTATCTGTGCGGGGGTCTTCTGGAGAGTGCATTTGCATGCTTACTTGCATGAGCTGCATCTGTCGGCTTATTACTGCCTGTTCAATGACGTTGGCGCGGGCTTCAACTCTAATACACAGACTATTTAGGCAACAGCAGGCGGTATGTAATGCTCTATGGTCTTGTGCACTGATAATGCCTGAAAGGAATGTTGTCTGATGCATTGAGTTACAAATCTCTTCCAGAGTTAGCTGGGTATGCGCCACCTTGTGAGCATAGTCTTGCAGGAGGAGGAGGTCTTGTGCCTCATTGCGTCTCTGGAGTGGTTGTGGTTCGTGCGACTGCTTTGGCGGCATGGTTGCCTGCGTCAATTTCGTGTGCACCCACAGTGGAGCGTAGCTGGGTAGAGGCTGAGCAAAACAGCGACGGGTTCCATGGCGCGATGTACTTTGACATCTTCCTATGCTAACTACCAGACAGACGTCTTATTAACCCTGAAAACCCCCTTAAACAACCCTCCCCCCCCAATGGGCAGCAGTCTGATTTACTGAAGCTGATAGCCAACCATGGGTACCCCACGGTGGCAGGTTTTATCTGTGAGGGTGTTAGCTACCATGAATTTTTCCTACGTTGCATATATTGATTATTGGAACTGGACCTTTCCGGAGGCTGTAGCCTTCCTTGGCATGTTTGTGCTGCTTGTCGCTCCTTTTGTAGGAGGTGGTCTGTCCCCTTGGACTGTTTGGAGCATTTGTTTAAGAACCGGGTGGTTCTGCTTGTCGGAAAGCACTTTGGTTATTTCCTGGAGGAAGGCTGCAGGATCCTCCACCAGAGCCTGGGCCTCCGAGAGGGGTCTATCCAGCACTATGGCAATTAGCATGTCCCCGCCATCCTTCTGGATGAGTGCAGGTCGGCCCTCTTGCATCTGTTCCAGGATTGCAACTGCCTTGTTTTCGCATAGGGTGCGTTCCCATTCTTCTAAAGCCCTTTGCATTAATGTTGCATTCTGAGGTGGAACGCGACTTTGGTCCGGTTTCCCAAGCGCTCGGAGGAACGGGCTTTCAGGCGACGTGGCAGGGGGGAGGTTCGCAATGACTTCTACTGTTCGTCGGATATCTTGCTCTGTTATATCGTAAGAAGGAGACGTTTTACGGCTGATGTTCGTTTCTGAGTCTTCCCACAGCTGTTTTAGCATGTAGCCCTTGCGTGGCTCCATATATTTGCGGTTCCACACGGAGTTATGGGACCATTGGGATGCTGTACGGTTGATCTCGACAGAGTTCCTCTTCATGTCGTATTCTTTAAGCATGTTTTCCAACTCCTGGACCGTTGCTTTCTTATGAACACAAAATTGTCGGACGGCTCCGTCGATGAATAGAGGCCAACCAATCGGCATATGTGAGTCGTCTAGGCCGTCGCCATTGTTTTCAATGATTGTACCTAACATAGGCACATCAATTGTGGCCTTTAGGCTGACCTGTTCCCGTTTGCTATTCCATGTATCTGGCGCAAGTAGGCCCTTTTCGGCTAGCACTGCCAAGGCTGGGAAGTGTGGTAGCTCTTCCTGCGGCAACGCGTTTTCCCGAATGACCAGCTTGAGGCCGTGCAACGGCTGGGGCGATGCCTGGCATGCAGGGGGTGTTTGCCCTTGAGGTATTGTCGCATCTTCAAACCAAGTGGGCCGAACAGACTTAACTCCTATTTCGTTGGCATGGTTTGCAGTTTTGATGCTTTCCCTGCGGAGACTATGGTACATTGGGGGGACCATCCAAGCGGGCACGAACAGGGTGATGAACTGAACATTCCATACAACCTGGAGGTTCTGTGGTGTGAACTCTGGAGTGATACATCTGACCTGCCCATCAATAATCCTGGTGTACGATTCGGATCGGCCAAATGATGCCGTGACTTTTAGGCCTAGGTAAAGCTCACGAAACCAGTACTCTTTTAAGAACATAAAGGAGAGGTGAGGTGCTCTCACTTCCAATACGTGTGTGGCTGGCATTAATAGGGTTACGATCCATTCGGCTAAGAACTCAATCATTCTTGCTTCAAGCTTAGGAAGGATTTTCTCGATCTCATCTAGTGTTGGCTCTACTGCCGGAGCTGGAATTGTAGTAGGAATGCCTGCTGTCCCCCTTGCATATTCCTCCGCGAAGTAAAGTCGACTCAATTTAGAGACCCACTGCCCTGGTTTCTCCATGTCGATTGTGATTTTTGCCATAGGCCATGGGTCTGGCAACGCCGACAGGCAGTGCAAGAGCTCTGATGTTAATTCCGGGGTGATGACCGGCAGTGCCGCCCCTGTGGGGTGGTATTGCGTGGTCGGTTCAATAGCGCCCTTACTACGTTGTGTGTGCATTCGGGCAGCTGCATGCACTTCATCGATGACCGCGCCATACTCTTTGACCATGGCTCTCAGGTACTTACACGCGCGGATAGCTGCCCGTCTTGTGCCTGGGCCGTTCTCAACTTGATTTTTAGCTGCTGCTGCCAAGATATCTCTTGCCTCTTCTTCTGGTGTTCTTGGTGGATCCTTGCTTCCCGTGGGTGTGGCAAGGGGAGTTCCTCTGACTGGCGTCTCCTTGGTGTGTGGCAGGTCAGCGGGGATGGTTAAAGTGGGATGCACTCGCCACCCATCAAAGAAGTATATACCTGGCAGAGGGAGAATTTCTCGGAGGGGACCCATCCGCGACACAACCTGACCGTTTCTGGCTTTATATAATCCAGATGGTAGGCACACGTATGTGGGGTGAGGCGTGCAGTCAGCTGCGTATGCGTACAGTATTATGTCTGCAAATGGAAGGTCTTGGTCAGGAATCCACTGATGGCCGCGAGCCAGTCCGCTTCGTGCCTCCTGTAGGCGTTCCCTCTTAAGCCATTCCAAGGACGAGCCTCGCACTAATATGAGTCGATATCGTTCTCGATCCTGGTACTGGTTAGCAATTGCGAGAGGTGGGAAAATCCAGTCAGGTGTGGTATTTAAGGACCATCTATCCATCTGCCTTAAGTTTTCTTGCTCTGGGTCAGGGTCAAAGGCAGGCCAATCCCATGTTGTTCTTAAGCCTCGAATACCATACGCAATAGCCGCTACTACTTGTGCCATTCCCATTAGCCCCAACATATCGAGCGGTGACACTAAAACTGTCAGTGATTTGGAGCGGGTGAGGCCAACGGTAATGCGGCCCAGACAATCTTCTGTGTCTTCTGTAGGGGAACCGTCAGGGTAAAATCGTCCGTTAAGGAAGCCAATGCTCGGCTGGGCTACAATGGCAACCTGTGCTGTCCCTCCCGCTGAATTGGCGATGGTTTCTACCCGTAGTGTGCGGGCATTATCCTTCTTGAGTACTGAGCGGTTGAGGTTGTTTTTATGATCCGTGGCAGTGGTCATGACAAATAGCCCATTTGCAAATCCCATATTCCGAGGGAAGTCGGGAAGTATTTGGGATACAATTGTTTCAAGGTCAGCAGCGACCAATCCATTAATTTTAGCATTGGTATCCCATAAAACTAGCTGGAACCCTGGCGGCTTGTCCGGAACTCCTCCGGAGGCAAAGCTTCCTAGCTCCCAAATTTCATTGACTTGTCTGCATAGCGCTGGGTATCTGACCGCTACCACGGCGTGATATGTGACGGGGCTAACTCTTGAACTGGAGGGGAGCATCAGTCCCCATGCATGGACATTGTTAACTCCTGCTGTTTCGGAGTTGAGCACCGCTTGTATATCACCTGCCATAGGTAGGAGTGTGGCTGCGCGTTGCAACATCCATGCTAATCGCACTAAAGACCGTGGAAAGTTTACTGACTATTGTGCCATCTAATGGTTCAGGGTCTACTAATGTTGGGAATTGTGCTCGCTCATGCTGACGGACTTCTCGGAACTGAGCTTCCATGCCGGGGAGGAACGCGTTTGTCGCGTCCAGGTCCTTCCTTGCTTGCCCGTGGAGTTGGTTCACCCATAGGTTGTCAAGTGTGTGTTGGCCTCTGTGTAGAATTTCTCCAAGGGCGACGAGGCTGTCGTTGGATGAGCTTTCTAGTAGCCGTATCATGGCTTCTGCTAGGGTGGACGGCATGTAATAATTTCTGTCGCTTCGAAGCCCGTGCTTTTTGGCCAACAGCAGTTGGCGTGATCGCTTGGCATTGGGCGCCGTACGGGCAATGCCGCCTGGTGTTTGCTGCGAGTCCCCCGTCCATATGACAAGGGGCTGTTGCTTCAGTAGGCTGATCACGGCGATTTCCCGGTCCGTGCCATATTGCTGACCTTCATCGATTACCATTAAGGACTCACAGTGCAATGGCCTTCACGATGGGCACCCCTCAGATGACACCAACTGAAGATCAGTTTGGGGCCTTAGCCCAAAGGGTATTTGGGGGTGCGCCCAATGTAGGGCAAATGAGCGCCATCAGGCGCATACACTTCGAAAGCACTACGCTGGTGATTTCAACAATACGTGAGAAAGTCACCAGTGAAGGAGCTGAGAAAGGTGATGCGACAAAGAAAATTCCCCTTGCAGAGAAGAAACAGAGGAGGGAGGATCAGCTTGCCCGGCTGAATGGAATTTCCATGGTTGGGCAATTAGACCCAAGCCACGCTTTGCTTGACTTGGCAAACCAGATGCTTGAAAGCGGGGCAATCATGTGGCTTGCACCTTCGAAATGCAGCAAGCGTGATGACGAGGTGCAGATGTCTCTTAGGGATTCAAAATCCTCAGTCCAAATAGAAAACTCTCAACTTAGAGTTGGGCCGAGCGTTGAGGTCATTGAGGCCGAGTGGAACTCCGAGCTCAAGTATCAATGGTGCATGATGCGGAGGGGACTAGCCTTCGACCAATGCCGTGTTCTGAGTTGGAACGTGCATCAGCATTGGGTCAACTACATGCTGAACCTTTTGAGCAGGCCTGTTAACCCGGGGTTCCAACAGATCAAGCTTGATCAACTGGTCCGAGCTGATAGAGAGCTTTGGACACTACTTGCACAAGAGGTTTCCGGAAGCTTGAAGATGGACGGAAGCGAGATTCCACTGGACAAGCACGTCACCACACTTGCAACAGACCCAAGGGTCACCATGCTGCTGTTGCCGCTACCGGCGAACCAAAGAGTGACAGAAGCGCCTGACAAACCCAGGCCGAATCCTAAGGCTGGACCTGTCAAGCCTGCTGCAAAGGTGTCTTCCAAGCGCAAGACCCGCGCAGAGCGAAGCTGCCCTGAGGAGCTCAAGCAATACAATACCAAGGTTGCAGCAGGTCAGATATGCTGGAACTACAACATGAAAGACGGTTGCCAACTGTCTACAAGCGGAAAGCCAGCCAAGTGCTCCTGTGGTTTGCACTTGTGCGCTTGCTGTCACAAGGCTGGTCACTCTTTGGTCGTTTGCAGAGAAGCTAAGAAGGGTTGACAAATCAGCCCCACTGGACGGCCTCTCAAGTTTCGTAAAGAGAGGGAGGAAAGTTCAGGTGGGAGAGCAGAAAGTAGTGCACTTCCATTGCAGAGCGCTGGCAAAAGCCACCATGCACCTGATGTTTCCACCGCCTCCAAAAAGGAGGGACCTATGTCAGATGGGGAGCCGCCTCATGGCGAAAACCCACCAACTTTCACCGCAGGATCCGAGGAGATGCAAAGCAGTAGCACTCGGAAACAATTCAATTGCAACAGAAACTTTTCTCGGATGTCTTTGGAAGATTTGTATATCATTGAAATTTGTGCTGGTTCAGCAAGGCTTTCTAAAGTTGCTCATGAATGTGGTTTCAGAACAATGGCCATCGACCACTCTGCTGCGAGAACATGTGGTTTTCCAATTTGTGTTTTTGATTTGGCAGATGCAAATGACCTGGAGTCACTTGTACGTTTCATAGAAGAGTCAGCCGACTCCATTCTGGGAATTTGGATTGCGCCTTCATGTGGAACATGCAGTCGAGCAAGGGAAAAACGTTTGTTTTCTTTGGAAAGAGCAGGTGTAAAGACACCGATCCCTTTAAGATCCACCTCACAGCCAGACCAACTTGATGGCCTTAGTGGACTTGACAAAATCAAGGTTGAGAAAGCTAACATGCTTTGCGAGTCAGTGTACGTGGTTTCTGCACTTGCATGCTCATTGCATATTTTTCTGGCGATCGAAAATCCAACAAATTCGCACTACTGGAGCACGAGCCCAATGCAAAGGCTTTGCAATGAGCATGAACATCACTATGTAACTTTCCATAACTGTGCACATGGTGGTGATCGAGATAAATCCACCTCCTTATGGGTGAATGACAGCTGGCTTGACTCCCTGGCGCTCCTATGTGACAAGAAGCACCAGCACAAACCTTGGACCACGACCATGAAGAATGGGAATGTACGCTTTGCAACAGCAGAGGAAGCGGCATCCCATATTGCTTTGTGAAAGAGTAATCCATTGCCTGCGTGACAAGGCATTGGAATTGGGTGCAAGAGCGCCCGACACGCTCCTCGAGCACACAAAGTCAAACCTTTAGTTGCAGAGTTTGGCACCTACATGAAGGTTTTTGCTGACCCACAGAAGCCCAAAGACCTTGATAAGCTTCTGGCAACACTTCCAAGGGTGCCAAACCAGTCTCACGCCACATTGTTACAGGGGGTGATCTCCATGCCGCTCGACAAGACGCCACAGCTGTTTTTCTCAATGTCGATGACAATGCAACAGTTGAGAAGGTCCACATTGGGATCCCTAGCGAACCTGACGATTTCGTTCAAAGAGCAATCTCAGCTGGGCACCCGAGAAGCTTGGAACAGCACCTGGACCCGCAAGTCAAGAACATGATACATGCCAACTTTGTTGCAGACCCTTCCATAGTTGCCAAGAAACGAGCCGACTTCTTCAAGAAGTATGTCAAACGGGCGTCAGAATTGGCAGGACAAGAGGAAGAGCTCAGGAGCAAGATGCCCCAACATGTTTTGGAACTTGTGGGCAACAAACGTTTGGTTTTATGGAAAGAGATCCTCAGTGATTACGGATATCCAGATGTTAATTTGATCGATGACATTGCAGCTGGCTTCAAACTTAGCGGGTGGATGCCGAGGTCACATGTCTTCAAAACCAGGACAAAGAGGCCTTCAATGGCCTTGAGCACGTTGAAAGGCCTTGCGAAGGCTTTAAACACAGCCACCTTCCGAAACATGGATGTCCGTCAAGACTCCGATCTGGAAGCAGCTACATGGGATGAGACTGACGAGGAAGTCAAGAAAGGATGGATATGGTTTGATGAGGGCGAGCACGATGGTTCGCAAAAGTTTGTTGGCCGACGCTTCGGCATCAAACAATCCAACAAAATTCGAGTTATTGATGATTGCTCTTGTTGTGGGCTGAACTGGACGGTTGGTTTGCATGAGAAGTTTCAGCTGCAGTCCATCGACATATTGGCCTGCATCATAGCTGAAGCATTCAGGAGCGGCGGGGGGGGTCCTTTTCCTTCTGTTTTTGGAAGGTGCTACGATCTGAAGAGCGCGTACAAGCAATTTGCAGTGCATGGTTCCGACAGGGACCACCTTCGCATGGCTGTCCGGTCGCCAGTGGACAGCGCTATCAGACTGATAGGCTTCAACGCCTTGCCTTTCGGGGCAATTGGAAGCGTTGCAGGTTTCCTGCGGGTCAGTCTTGCAGTCTGGTTTGTGGGCCTAGTTGCGCTTGACCTTTGTTGGACTGTTTTCTACGACGACTACAGTGTGCTGAGTCGAGAAGAATTGCTAAACAGCACTGCCTGGAGCGTCGAAACTCTACTGGACCTTTTGGGTCTGACTTTTGCAAAGGAAGGAAAGAAGTTCATGCCCTTCAACCACAAGTTCCAAATGCTTGGCCTGGAAGTCAATCTGGAGGGTTGCAAAGACAACTCAGTGACCATTGGACACACTGAAGAACGTAGGACTGAGCTGGTGACCAAGATCAATGACATCTTGGCAGAGGGCTGGTTGGATGCAAAGGAAGCCGAAAGGCTCCGTGGTCGAATGATTTTCTTCGAGTCTTATGCATTTGGTCGTTTAGCAAACAGCACTGTGAAGAACATAGGAAGATTCTGCGTTGAGAGCTCAGGCAGGAAACGCCTTGATTCATCGATTCAAGGAAGCCTCCTTCTTCTTAGAGATAGAGTTTTGGAAGCCCCTCCAGTGGTGATAGGCCGACCCCTTGGAGATACCTGGATCATCTTTACAGATGGAGCTTGCAACCCGGAGCTCAAAACTGGAAGTGTAGGAGGCTTGATTCTATCTCCTCAAGGTCACTATGTTGGGACTCCTCCTGTAAGGAGGATACAAACCTTATTCCTAAAAGGAAAAATTTTGGGTGATCCAAAATTAGCAACTGGCGTTTTGGTGAACACATGCGTTTAAACACTGTGACAAACAACCTGAAAACTTTTTTGAGGTTTTCTCTGATCTGTTTGTCATATTTCAACTGTCCATGGTTGTACTGTTTGTTTAACATATCGATGTTTTACAGTACTCCACTTCTGATCTCTGTGTGAAACACATCTGAATTTTATATTGCATGAGAACCATTTTGGTTTAAGGGAGGGTTGTGGTGGGACCATTCGTGTATTTTTACTCGTTGATGAGCAATGGGGGTTATCGTTTGAGATGACCGTCCTTGCTACGGACGTTTCAGTGGATGTCGATGTGCCTGATGGTATTGACAGTTCTGCACTCAGAGAACATGCTGCAGGTGAAGACACAGCACTGGAAGCATTACACTGGCTTTCGTTGCAAGAAGAAGTTGCAATTACAGAAGGTGCTGTTTCTAGGAACAATTTGTTTGCAGGCACCACTTCAGGATCTGATGGTTTTGCTTTAGATGCAGATTTTGTTCAAGTCTTGCTTATGACAGACAGTGCACATGATGTCAGCGTGTTGGAGGGCTATTCAGCAGATAATGCGGTCAGCTATGCAAGACCCAGACTGGAGCCACAAGGCATTCAACACTTCTGGGAGTCTGGTTTTGGAACGACTCTTTCGATCCTAGCAAGACCTTTCTCAGCTCTTTTGACACGACTTCAAACGTCCTGTTGATCCTGTTCAGGGAGATGTTCATAAAGCTTTGGAACAACAAACGGAACGTAAACCGAAGACTGCAAAACTGAATGCAACGTTCATGGACCATGTCAGGGATGTTGGCATTATGAATGGAAGGACAAGAGGGAAGCAGATTGGCAAACAGCCATTTTCCGTTGGCACTCCATGTTGGGCACCTGGTCGACAGACGTTCAAGAGGTTTCGCAGATTTTTGGCAGAGAAAGTTTTCAATTAACAAGCGAAGGTTTTGGTTGACATCTTTCACAACCAGGGTATGCGCATCGAAGACGTGGACTTGTCGGGAGCTTGTACTTATTTGGAAGTGGCGACTAGGGTGAATAAAAGCTGCATAGGCCTTACGACTGAAACATCAGTACCGCCCCCTTGTTGCTTCGTGTGTAGGAGTTGTAGCGGGCAATTGGGGTGAAGAACGGTGCAATTGCAGGAAAAACTTGGCATGCTTGATTTGACAGTTTTACCCTTGATGCCAGTGCTTGATGCTAGCCAATTGCCAACAGTGAGACCTTGGAGCTCGACAGAGGCTGGGAGTTGGATGCGCGTTCTTTTGAAAGTTTAGATTTCCAACGAGCAGATCGAAGTTACCTCACACTCACTGAAAGCGACTGTCTTAGTTACGCAGCAAAAAGAGGATGCTCTTTTGAGGGACGTCTGAGCCTTGGATACCATACCCATACTTTCAAGATGGCTTTGTGTTACTCAAGAGACGGTGCTGCACGACCACTGCAAGTCTTGGAGCAGTTTCTTAGGGAGGTGAGGGAAAAGATTTTTAACCCGGATGACACTGGAAGTGGTCGACTCAGAATGACTCAGAGTTTAGGCAGTGACTTACACAAGACTGCAACAGAAACGTGATTGACATTTTTGAGCTTTTTCACCGTTGCAACCTGTTGTTGAGAATGCTGAGAAAGCAAACGGAAATGAAATGGCTGATAACCTCGAAGAAGTTTCAGTCAGTGACCATGCAACAACAGGCAGCGATAAAGAGAGTGACATCGACACGAAGGCCAGGACGAAAGTGTCCTACAAGGACATCCAGGCGCCAGATGGAACCTACTTGCACCAACATGCAAAGTTAAAGACCTTGCATGTGAGAAAGTCTGAAAACAGACGGGTCTTTTGTGTGGACGCACAACAAACAGCAGTTACAAGATTGCTGAAGGGCTCCATGCTTTTGATACACCTAAGTGCCGTCAGTGCTTTCGTGCAAGGCTAGACCGAGACTGAGTGGCAAAAGGTGAGGCCGTTTTCGTTCTCAGCCCATGTTGTTGTTGCGTGGAGTGGGCATGCCAGGCAACAGGTGCAGGTGTCCATTGCGATGTCAACAGAGTTTTTCAGAGCTTGCGTATGACAAATTTCAACAGGTATCAGGTCAAGGTGATGTCGTGATTCTCACTCAGATTTTTTCCGTTTGAAATTTCAACCATTGAAATTTTGGTGCAACTTGAAACTCAGACTTGTCGGTTGGCAATGATTCAGCTTTGCGCAACGACGAGAGAGAGGATCAAGGAAGTTGACACATGAACCTTAGTGGGCCAAAGGTACGTGACATGCTTGTTGCAATTTCAGTTTCATTCTCATTTCAAAGCGTCATGATGGGATGTTTGCATCAGCATGACCGACCGGGCAGATGTTGCAGTGCGAAATTCCATGCTATCCATTTTTCAGATGCAAGTTCTTTTTCACGTCATGGGCATGCAGAAACTCTGACACTTGTAGCTGGACTTCAGTCAGAACCAATGCTATGGCCTTGGTAGATTCTGAAGCTGCCTGTGCAAGTAACTGCAATGCCATTGACGAAAGCCGAGATCCCTGAACATGTGCGTTCAAACTGATTTGACAACGTTTATGCGTATGGTGTTCGCCACTGGCACACCGCAGATGTCGGCGAGTGAAGGAAGTTTCAAAACGTTTGCAATTGATCTGAACGGTGGAACCAAACTTTATACTACAATGCCGCACATGCACTTTCATCCACCACGTTTACATACATCCCCACCCCAACCGAAGTCAAGACCCGCACTGAAACTCGACAATGTCAGATTGCTCAAGAACTTTGTTTCGTTCACCCTAACAACCGCGATGAACAATGTCGTAGCAAGAACGTTGCGACGGACTGCGTTGCAGTAGTCTCAAAAATCGTACATGATATACCAGTAGTACCGCACAAGGCGGTGGCGGAAGTTTCAAAAATAGGAAACCTATAGGAGAGATTGGTTGTTGTGAATCAGAGATGGCAGAGCGAAGCCACTGCTGGACTGAAAGGCGATTGATCTCTCTCACTCTTGTCTACCTGTCTATCTATCTATCTATCTATCTATCCATCTATCTATCATCTCTATCCATCTATCCATCTATCCATCTATCCATCTCCATCTATCCATCTATCCATCTATCCATCTATCCATCTATCCATCTATCCATCTATCCATCTATCCATCTCCATCTATCCATCTATCCATCTATCCATCTATCCATCTATCCATCTATCCATCTATCCATCTATCCATCTATCCATCTATCCATCTATTTCTCCCTCTATCTATCTATCTATCTATCGATCTATCGATCTATCGATCTATCGATCTATCGATCTATCCCTCTATCCCTCTATCCCTCTATCCCTCTATCTATCTATCTATCTATCTATCTATCTATCTATCTATCCTATCTATCCTATCGATCCTATCTATCCTATCTATCCTATCTATCCTATCTATCCTATCTATCTATCTATCTATCCTATCTATCCTATCTATTATCTATCTATCTATCTATCAATCATCTATCTATCTATCTATGTCATATAATATCTATCATATCTATCATATCTATCATATCTATCATATCTATCATATCTATCATATCTATCATATCTATCATATCTATCTATCTATCTATCTATCTATCTATCTATCTTATCTATCTATCTGTCTAGCTGTCTACCTGTCTATCTTTTGTGCAGTGTCATTCAGTGTAATGTGTGGAGTGTAGTTGTAGTGTAGTGTAGTGTAGTGTGTAGTGTCGTAAGTGTAGGTAGTGTAGTGTAGTAATGTAGTGTAGTGTAGTGAGTAGTGTAGTGTAATGTAGTGTAGTGTAAGGTAGTGTAGTGTAGTGGAGTGTAGTTGTGTAGTTTTAGTTGTAGTGTTGTGGAGTGTAGTGTAGTGTAAGGTAGTGTAGTGTAGTTTAATGTTGTGTAGTGGAGTGTAGTGGAGTGTAGTTGGGTAGGTGTAGTTGTATTTGTAGTGTAGTGGAGTGTAGTGTAGTGTAATGTAGTGAAGTGTAGTGTAGAGAGTGTAGTGCAGTGTAATTTAGTGTAGTGGACTGTAGTGGACTGTAGTTGTGTAGTTGTAGTTGTAACCTGTAGTGTAATGTAGTGTAGTGCAGCAAAGTGTAGTGTCATGTAGTGTAGTCGAGTTAAGCGAAGCAACATCTGAACCGCCAAAAGTGGTCCGAAACCCTAGTGTTTTTAACATGTTAACTTCCAAATCTGCTTCGCGCCACAACGGCGTGCACTTTTTCGAAACTCGACATCTCAGCCTCCAAAAGTGGTCCGAACATGGTGTGGTTTGTACATTTTGACTTCGAAATGTGCTTCGCGCCACAGCGGCGTGCACTTTTTCGAAACTCGACCTCTGAGCCTCCAAAAGTGGTTCGAACCCCTGGTGTTTTGCACATTTTGACTTCGAAATGTGCTTCGTGCCACAACGGCGTGCACTTTTTCGAAACTCGACCTCTGAGCCTCCAAAAGTGGTCCGAACCCCTAGTGTTTTTAACATTTTGACTTGGAAATGTGCTTCGCGCCACAACGGCGTGCACTTTTTCGACATCTTAAGTGCCAAAAGTGGTCCGCACTTGGTGTGTTTTCTATATCCCTTACGCTAAATAATTACACCAACCCACCAACTGGTTGCTGGTTTAATTTTTTGGGTTTAATTTGGAAATATAGACCTTGAGTGTGAGGTCCCCCACCTGTATACTTTTTATGAAAATTAAACCATTTCATTTTTCAGTTGTCGAAGCCTCGTGCTCCAGCGTGCCAGCAGGAGAGTAGAATTGGCACTGGATATGCATTCAGAAAGGTAGTGT